AGGGAGGGGAGGAAGGGAAGAAAGGAAAAAGACTATAATCCCAGCACTGGGAGGCTGAGACAGGAGAATTCCAAGTTTGAGTCCAGCCTGGGCAATTTAGTAAAACCTTGTCTCAAAAACGAAAAAAAGAAAAAGAAAAAAACATACACTGCTGGGGCTATAGCTCAGTGAGAAAGCCTTGGGTTCAACCCCACTACTCCCCGCTCAACACACACTAGAAATTAGAAGAAATTATCCAAAGTGAAACACAAAGAAAATAAGTGAAAGAGAACAGAGCACCCAAACACTGTAAGCTAACATATGCAAGTCAGTAAAGAGTTACAGAATAGAGAAAGAGCAGAATTAAAATTTGAAAACACACACTTGAAATTTTATACTTTAAACACAGAACAATCAAACTGTAGTAAAGAAAAATTAACAGAAAGATTTGAGGACAGTCCTCAAATATATGCATACCACACAATACACTGATACACAGAAATACAGATAATTACAGCAGATGTTCTGTCACAAATAACACAATCTAGAAGACAATGAAAGGTTGTTTTCTTTCTCTTTTTTTGCACTGGGGCTTGAACCCAGGGCCTTTACACTGAGTTACCATATATATATGGTATTTACACTGGTATTTACACTGAATACCATATATATATGGTATTTTTTAAAAAGACAGGGTCTTCCTAAATGGCTAAATAACCCAGAATAGGTTAGAACTTGTACTCCTCCTGCCTCAGCCTCTCAGAGTGCTGGAATTACAATGTACCCTTACCATGTCCCAGTGAAAGGTTCTTTTCAAGATCTAAAAGGAAAGTTGTCACCCAGAATTCTATAGCCAGCAAATATATCTTTCAAGAAATGAAGGCAAATGACTTTTCAGAGAAACAAAAGCTGACAGGATTCATTACAATAGACCAGCAGAAGAAAAAGGAAATATATACCACTTAAGAGGATATACCACTTAAGAAAAAATATATACCACTTAGAAATAGGAATTAACACAAAGCAATGAAGAACGTTGGAAGTGGTAAAAAAAACAAAAAATGAAGATAAATATATAATTTTTTGTTATTTGTAAATGCTTTAAAAAAATTGGCTAAAGCAAAAATAGTGGGGCTGGGGATTTAGCTCAGCGGCACAGCGCCTGCCTGGCAAGATCGAGGTAATGAGTTCGATTCCTGGTACTGGAAAAATAAAAAATAAAAAATAAAAATAAAGCAAAAATAGTAATGCACTGAGACATTCATCATATATTAAAAGTAAGCTGTATGACAATAGCAGCACAATAGTTGAGAGAGAAATATAAAGCATACTTGTCCTTCTAAGTGAAATGGTTGGCCTTTAATATGAAGGAATAGTCAGGGTACAGAGTCAATGAAATAGTAAGAAATTTCCAAAAATTATAGATACCAATCTTCAGTTTGAAAAACCACAAATCTGCAATGGAAAACTAAAAGTAAATTCATATTTAGGGATAATGTATTTAAACTGCATAATAGCAGAGACAAAGAGGAAAGAAATTTAAAAAAAGAAGAAGAGAAAGAGGCAACTGACATGGAATCTGGACTAAAATTCAGATCTTCTGACCTATGTTCACTTCCCTTACTAAAATACTGGTGACTCCACAAAGCAAGAACCCAGTCTACCCAAGTGCCTGAGAGCAAATATTTATTAAGTCATCCTGTGAAATGCCCACTAGTTTAGGGGGACAGATATCCCATTGTCCTTCCTGTGTAATTTCCAAACAGCAGATGCTACTTGCAGAGCATGGTGTGAGCGGAAGGGCCTGTGAGCTCTGCATGACACCACACAGTCCTGGTTTTCTTCCTATCTCTGTGTCTAAGCCTCTTTGTTAGTTCACTCAGTTCATTTTTCAGGAACCTTTGCGTGACAATTAGATTCCGGATATATGTGTCAACAGTAACTCTAACATGTCATCCAGTCATAAACTCACATTTATTTCTATAATTATTTAATTACTATCTGACTTTTCCAATAGGCTATGAATTCCATGAGGATTGAGTATTATATCTGTTTTTCTTACATTTTAATTTTGATGCCCAGCACACAATGAACATAAAATAAATATGTGCTGAGTGAAAGAATCATACATAGAAAATGTGTTTTTTTTTTTTTTTCTTTGGTTTTTCTCTGGTACCGGGAACCGAACTCACGACCTTGTACTTGCCAGGCAGGCGCTTTGCTGCTGAGCTAAATCCCCAGCCCCTAGAAAATGTGTTTAAATGAGCCACAGTAATTGTTCTATGCTTTCAGAGAAGACCTATTTACCAATTAAGAAAAAAATGGTAAACATACACATGTAGAGTGAAAATGTGCCCTAGAATAATAATTTGCAAAATAACTTACCTCGACACAAAGTCACTTAATTCTGAGTATTCTGTAGGCTCCATTATTATGCCAAGGTCAGTAATGACAGAAGATAAATTCTCCTTATTCTAAAATAAAGGTTAGAAAAATTTATGTATCATATCAAAGTAATTTTTAAAATGGCAAAAATACTTTTAAGTTATAAAAATGAAATACCACAAAATAAAAAAAAATTAAGAGTTAATATTGAAAATATTGGTTATTTTATAAAAGAATGAGATCAGCTTCTTACTCCACAATGAATCCAAAATGAACTCCAAATAAATTACTTCAACAGTGAAGTCATACAATACTAGAAGGAAAAATAATTTAACTGATGACTAAATCAAGAGAAACTGTCTAAACAAATAATAAAAAAATTAGCAAAAATGAGTATATACAAATTCATAAACATGACTGTAAAACCGAAAAGAAAAAGGCAAAAGATGTGAACTAAAAAAATTTAGAAGTAAAAACAATAATTTACCTATAAAAAAAGTTCTGCTCAATAATAGTAAGATAAATATAAATTAAAACAATAAAGGGACATTTGTACCTAGGAGGAGAGATTTTAAAACGTCACTGTTGGTGCCAGGTTTGGTGGTGCACACCAGTTATCCTAAGTACTCAGGAGGTTGAGACAGGAAGATCACAAATTCACAGACAGCCTGGGCAACTTACTGACACCTTGTCTCCAAAAAATTCTTTAAAAAGACTCCCTGGGTTCCATCATTTCCACCCAATCCCCAGAAAAAATCACAACTGGCAAATATACACTAAAACCAAGTTGATACAACCCTTCTAGAAGTCATTTTGGACCAGGGATATAGCTCTGCGGCATAAGCACCTGCCTGGCAAGCACAAGGTCCTGAGTTCGATTTCTGGTAAAAAAAAAAAAAAAAAAAAAAAAAACCCTAGAAGTCATTTTGACAATGACTATTCCTAAAATATTTCATAAAATATTCATCTTCCCTGCCCCAGCAATTTGCCTTCTAAGAATCTATACACATTAATAAGAAATGAAGAAAAAGACTTATGAATAACTGCTACTTATCACAAAAAGCTGGAAACAGTTAAGGATTATTATCTCACCTTGCAAGCTCAAGTAAATTTATTTCATTTTCTTATTAACTTCCTTTGTTTTCATGTCAGTATTTTTGCTATGATTTTTGATTTTAGGCCACTTTGTCCAATATGATAAAAGAACTGTGTACCATGTTTGTGCTTTGACTTCTAGGGTTCTTTATTTGTAATTAATGGTAGTGAATCTAGATATTTTTCGTATTTTCTAAGACTAGAGTAAGTGCATGCTCCTTGACTCTTCTATATTTGTCTGCACAGCATCTGACACATCTTATATGCAGAGCTGTTGGAGAATGGGGACTGATGATTTATGTATAACTTTTATTTAGTTTTTCATCTGCTTGAGGATATAGTAGGAATTGGTAGGAGCATTCTTACAACTCAAAAAAAGACAAACTCAATTAAAAGTTGGGAAAAGGATCTGCACAGACATTTTTCCATACTTACATACAAATGGCCATAAGCTCAGAAACACATGCTCAACATCATCTAGTAGTTCCATTCAATTCCACTCAAAGTTGTATTGCCAAGAAAAGTAAAAACATTTAAAAACTTGTTCATGGTCAGGTGTGGTGGCTCATGCCTGCAATCCCAGCACTCAGAAGGCTGAGGCAGGAGGACTGCTGCAAGTTTGAGGCCAGCCTAGGCTACAAAGTGAGTTAAAGTCCAACCTGAACTGCATAGTGAGACCCTGTCTCAAAAAGACAAAAAAAAAACAAAAAAACAAAAAAACAAAAAACCTTGTTCATGAATATTTATAGCAGCATTACTTATAACAGCCCCCAAAATGAAAATTATCATTTCCATCAATTAACTGAATGCATAAAGAGAGTATATCCACACAATAAATTTTTTCTAGCAAAAAAAAAGCTGACACATGCTACAACATGGATTAACCTTGAAAACATTGTAAGTCAAGAAGCCAGACCCAAGGCACCAAATATCCTAACAACTAGATTTTCTTTGGTGCCTGTGATAATCGGGTTGCATTCTCTTCATTAAAAAAAAAAGTCCCTATTCTTCAGTCATTTAGTCCATTTTGCTGGCCTTCAGGGAAAAAAGTTACGAAATCATACTTTATCTGCCACATTTCCCACACACTCCCCCTTGAATGCCTCGCTTGCTGCATGGACTACATAAGGCTGATATTATGCATGTTCATTCTGACGACCCTGCAGCCCCTCACATGCACAGTGCTGACAAGGCCAGACAGCACAGTTAAGGGAGAGAGGTCAATGTTCCTGCCACCTTTAAAAGAACAGCTGTGAAAACACAGGTTAGCATTCATACTCTCTATAGGCTTCCCTATAAAACAATCTTTCAGTCACACATGGTGGCACACACTTAAATCCCAGCACTGAGGAGGCTGAGGCAGGAGCATTCCTGTGAGTTCAAGGCCAGCCTGGGTTACAAACTAAGATCAAGGCTAGCTCAAACTGCACAGTGAAACCTTATCTCAAAAAGACCAAAAAAAACAACTTTCAGGTCACATTTGATTCTAAAATTCAATTAACATGATTTTTAGGTCATTTTGGCTTAAATAATGTAGTATTAATAAGATTTTATTATTGAATAATAAATATTTACAATATTCTGAAGTGAGTTTTATTGTTTAGATTACTGTATGGTTTCTGGCAGCTAAACATCTCCCTCTAGTGGAAAGTTTGATTTTAGAAAATGAGAACCGAGAGTGACTCTCCATGTTTTCCTATCAGTTTCAAGAGTAAAAAAAATGTTCCATATATAAAATGGTAAAACCATTTTACAAAGCAAGTTGGCATCATCCACCCAGAATTTATATGTACATTTCCTTTGACCTAGCAGTTCTACTAGAGATGTATTTCTGAAACCATACACAAATAGCTCTAGAATATGGTAGGATGAACCAGTAAGTAGTAAAATTTTAAAGAACACTCAAGAAAAACAAGAAAATCCTTGGTTCCTTTCCTTTCCAAGCAAGACTCTTGGAGACTCCCACACAACAGATCCCACAATCCTTGCTCACTCCACAGCTGCCTACAATTGCGTCAATACAATTGTGCTTATCAATCAAGTACTCAGAAGAATAGTAAAATTAAAAAGATTCAGAAGGAAGTGCTGGTTCTTAACACAGCCAGGAAGAGCATGCTTTTTCTGCAGCACAGTGTAGTAAGTCAAGCAGCTCCAAACACCTTTTAAATGTGAACTCACGTCCCTTTAGAGATTTAGCCATTACTGGGTTCTGCCTTTTAAAGAGTAGCAATAATTATTTTCAGATTTCTTTCCCTTGTATTTTTTAAAACATACAGGACAGACACTGATAGTTGTCCTGAAATATTTATTCTTTTTTCTTGCCCCAATTTTTCACTGGCTGAGGTGACAGAAGGATGCAAGTTAAAGTGAAGTTAAAATATTAGTTATCTCAGGCCATACCCCCACTAATGAACATATCACTCCATCTTTGGGCACAACTCATCCTAGAAAACACCACTCACTCCACTGTTCACCTCAACTTTAAGAGGATAGTCTTCTTTCTAATTAGATTTGTGGTCAGATCTCTCAAGGATGAAACCAGGCATGGGGGTACATACCTGTAACCCCAACACTTGGAAGGCTGAAGCAGGATTGCCACAAATTTGAGGCCAGCCTGAGCTACATAGTGAGTTCAAGTCTGAACTACATAGTGAGACAGTCTCAAAAATCCACAAACAAATACATAAAATTTCCAAAGGTGGGACTAATTTTGCTGAGAGCTTTACTTCTCTGTAGATAACCCATGGAACACCTACTATACCCGAAAAACCCTGCAAGACCCTAAGGCTGCTAGCATGCGCTGGAGCAGTTGCTGGACAATGTATACATTAAAGAAGTTCCCAGGAAGGGAACTGAACCTCAGGCTTATGACTTCACTAACCTAACATGTAATGTAGGTCTAGGCCATTAATGGATACTAGCATGCAGAACAAGTGGTGAAGCCCACTGAACTCAAGATCATAGCAGCCACAAAGAAAAAAAATACAGTTGGTCAGACTACACAACCAGCTACAATAGGAAAACATCCAGGAGTCCTTGGGCCTCCCAAAGGAAAAGACTAGGATCCTGGCACAAGCCGTCCCGCACAAATGATACCAATTCATTTGGGAACATGCTCTATGTCAGCCTTCAACACGTGAGCTTTATTGTCATGCAGAATATCACCTTCACGATCCAGTATAGCTCCAAGGCCTGGTGCCCACAAGGAAACAGTCTAACTTCCCTAAAGCATGCACTATCCATGTCCATAGCACATGAAAATGCTTAACTCTATGTTGTATACTGCCCAAAAGACCTTGGGAATGCCACACGGAATCTTCTCAGCCAAAACAGCACTGAAGAGTGAAATGAGGCAAATGTATGATGAGAATTCTGTCAGCAGATGAGGGGCCAAATATGCCCTAGCCTGTCCTCAGCTGCCTACTCCAGGGATAGCAATTGGGTACTTCAAACTGCGAAAGTTCTAGGCCAATACCTGGATCCTATCCTTGGAATTAGCTACCTATCCTTGGAGATACCTGGACCCTATCCTTGTCTGACGTTTGAGGAGGGGGGCCTTGAATTCCTATTCTAATCAAAAGGGGACAGCTTGAATCTGTTTTTATGTCTGAGGACACTGGCTACAGGGATGAGGAATCCTGGCACCTGACCCTGAGCACATGAAGGTAGACTGTCCACAAAACTCGACTGTGACAACTTCTTTACATCCACTGTATTGATCTGATGAGCCAAGGTACCCTGGCTATCCTTCCTGTCCTGTTCTTTGTACACACTCCCTATAAGCCCAGCTGGCAAAACCAACCGGTTCCATAATCAAAGCATGTGACCTGTTTCAGGCCTCAAAACAATGCCTGGACTCCATCCCCATGCTAGCCTTTGAAATTGTCTCAACTTGTTCTGCCCTATCCTGATGAGTAGGGATATACATTACCATTCTGTCTGTTTCCTGATTACATAGTAAAGGTTTAATCAAATGTATCTCCCTCTCTGTGTTGTACCTTAATCCTGTGAATCATCTGGTCCCAAACAAATCAGCTGCTGTGTGGTCAGGTGATCACGACCTCATGAGAGGCCCTGAGCAAGAACATACAAATGAGTGTGATAATTTTACTTTTGTTGTTTCAATATGCTAAATATTGAAGAAATTTTTTAAGCAGATAATTAGTAGAAAATAAATGGATGGCTGGGTGTGGTGGTGCACACCTGTAATCCCTGAGGCTGAGGCAGGAGGATCATTGTGAGTTCGAGACCAGCCTGGGCTACAAAGTGAGCTCAAGGCCAGCCTGAACTGCATAGTGAGACACTGTCTCAAAAAGACAAAAAAAAAAAAAAAAAAGAAAAATAGATGGCTGGCTCATCAGCTCCATTCCAGCTTTCAAAACAATACCCCAGGAGCTGGGGATTTGGCTCAGCGGCAAAGTGCCTGATTGGCAAGCGCAAGGTCGTGAGCTCGATTCCTGGTACTAGAAGAAAAAAAAACAACAACAACAACAACAAATAAAACACAAAACAAAGCAATACCCCACTAGCAAGACAATGTTACCCACCTCCCCCCAAAAAAAGGCTAGGATAACTCATGCAAAGGCCCTAGGCCCTGTGTTCAATCCCCAGTATTGCAAAATAAAAAAATAATTTAACTAAATAGTGCCTATGGCTTCAGCAACAACTTTACCATATGCAGCTGCTGAAGTGATTTTACTTTTTTTTTTTCTTTTTTTCTTTTTTGTCTTTTTGAGACAGGGTCTCACTATGCAGTTCAGGCTGGCTCTGAACTCACTCTGTAGCCCAGGCTGGCCTCAAACTCACAACAATCCTGCCTCAGTATATGTCACCATGCCCAGCTTCTAAACAATTTTTAAACAGTACAAATGTGCTCATGAACTCCTCCTCATCTCAGCCACTGCTGGAAGCTGTGGGACAGGAATTGTTTATCTCACAGAAAAAAATCTCTCTCTTATCACAGTATGCTCCTTAATTTACCTGTGTTTCCAGAATCTGAAATTCAAGTTGAAATGTAACTATGTTGCAATTTCCTGATAATCTGTGTCTTTGCAGAACTTTCTTTATACCTGTAAATTAGAAAAACATTTTATTTGCAAAGAACAATTTTCTTCAAATATCTTTTAGCTTTATGTAATTATCTATATGTCTATAGATGTATGAAAGTGTGTATTTCATTACAAAATATGGAAGTATGTATATGAAACATCCTTACAAAATGGGGTTGATGAGAATTTATACTTTCTAGTTCACAATTATACCCCACAAGTTAAGGTTAGAAACAGAAATACTAGTATAATCCTAGATAAGTTAGAATCATGTTAGTTGTTAACTCTTGGTTGTTTTGCTTTTTTTCAACATTATCTAGTGCTTATTTGTATGGATTCAGTTTGACATGAGAGCAGTCAGCCTGAGTTATAACTACCATTAATGCACCAGAGTAATCCTACTAGGTTTTTTATTCATATTTTCAAAAAAAAAAAAAAAAAACTATAACCAATCAAACCATTAAAGTCATATATGAAGCTCTACATCGAGTCCCTGTCTCCCAGGATGCACTTGAGTCTTAGATAATTTATATTTTTGTACTGGGGACATCCCTACCCATTTTTAATTTATTTTTATTTTTAATTATGAGAGAAGTTCTTATTAAGTAACTAAACTGGCCAAACTTTTAACTTGTTATCCTTCTGCCTCAGCCTCCTGCAGCACTGGGATTACAGGTGTATTCCAAGCATGTTTCAGCTACGATGAAATCACTTTTGCCCAAACTCATAAATATGCCCTTCTTTTGACCCAAATAAGGGATATCAGTTTCTCTGCAGTCTAGCACCATGCTTTGGTTAGTATGTCCCCCAATAAACTGTACTCTGTACAGTACTAGATCTGTCAACCTCTTTTTCTTCAGTCTCACAGCACCATAAGGCTCGTCCTCACATACTACATTATGTTGTTCCAAAACACTGTTAAAGACAATAAATTGAACCTATATGTTGACTTGTTGTCTCTCAAAAGTCACCAAAATGATAGCGACAAGTGGTACTTGAGGTATAGCATGTATATATTTAAATGCATAAAATGCCCTCTTGTTGCTTGGGCATGGTGGTACATGCTTCCTCAGCACTCAGGACGCTGAAGCACCAGGCCAGTCTGGGCTACATAGTGAGTTCAAGGCAAGCTTGATCAACATTGTGAGACAAAAACAAAAATAAAATACCCTTGAAGGTGTATACCTCATCTTTTAATGTACGTGCTTACCTGTATAACCACTATCCTTATCCAGATACAGACACTTATAGAACCCTGTAAGGATCTCTCGTGTCCTTGCCTAGGCCATTGCTTCTCTCCCAAGTTAAGCACTATTCTAACTTTATGTGGGGATCCAGCTTTGCTAATGAAGTTATTTTTAGGGCACAATTCTATAAGGGTAAAGAGAATAGGAAAAATAAGAGAAACTGAATTTCAGGAGCTGGGGATCAGATGAAGTCGATACTGTAGTATGTGGACAAGTAGAAATCACCTGATAGACCCAGGAAAACTGACACCTAAATGAACAATGAGGAAAGCCCAGAAACAAGCCTATTTATATAAGAGAATATAAATGGCATTCTGACTTAGCAGCACCAAGTTACTCTATATACCAGGTAAACTTGGGGCTTAAAATAGATAAGTTAAAGATCTGCTGAATATATAGTTAATAAGAAAAGACAGAATGGTACAAGCGGACATCATTTGCCTCCTAGTGAGATGTACTGGGCTAAGGAAAAGAAAAAAAAATCACTGTTCTGCTGCCAAAAGTGTATATACCTTGAAATTTTTCAAAAGGGAACTATGAGGGGTGGGAAACCAGACTAAAGGACACTCCATAAAATAGCCTTCAAAATGTCAATGACAAAAAAACACAAAGAAAGGTTGACCAGATTAAAGGAATCAAAAGAGACATTCAATGCCTGATTGTGGATTCAATCTGGAATTTAAAAAATAAATAGCTATTAACCTGTCAGTTCTTCCTAACTTGATCTACTGCTAATGCAATCTAATTGAAACCCCAGCAAGTTACTTTGTGGATAATGACAGATTGTCAAATTTAAATGAAAAGGCAAAGAACCAAGAGTAGTCAGCACAATAGCAAAAAATGAGGTTGGAGAACTTATAATGGCCAAGTTTGACTTGGTATAAAATCACAGTAACCACACGTCTGTAATCTCAGCTGCCCCTTATGCTGAAGCAAGGGGATTGCAAGTTCAAGATCAGCAATTTAACAAGACCCTGCCTCATAATGTGTAAAAAAAAAAAAAAAAAAAAAAAAAAAAGAGGTGGTGATGCAGCAGTACTATGAGAAAAAAGCCTTAGTCATCAAGACTGCATGGTATTAGTCAAAACCTTGACAAATACAGTACCCAGGGGCTGGGGACTTAGCTCAGCGGCACAGCGGCTGCCTGGCAAGCACAAGGTCGTGAGTTTGACCTCTGGTACTGGAAAAAAAACAAAAAAAATAAATAACAGTACCCAGAAAAAGACTCACAAAGAGGTTAAGATGACCCTTGACAAAGGAGCAAAGGCCAATTGATAGAAAAAGGATAATCTTTTCAATAAAAGATACTAAAGACCCATATGCAAGAAATAAATCTAGATACTAACTTTACACCTATTATAAAAATTCGCTCAAAATATATCAAAGACCTACATATAAAACACTGTCTTGGTTACTTTTCTCTTGTTGCTGAGACAAAATACCTGATGGCCAGAATTAAGGAAGAAAAGGTTTATTTACCTCACAGTCTGTGGAGGTTTCAGTACATACTTGGCCGGCTCCGAGGCAGGGTGGCACATGGCAGAGGAGAACAATTCATGGCAGCTGAAGACAGCAAAAGCACCAAGAGCAAAAAGGGCAGGGGGAGGTGGGAAGCAAGCCTCTTGATTCCTCAAGTTGACACAAAGTATCAACCATAACAAACACAAAACTAGAACACTCAGAAAAGATAACCTAGAAGAAAATTTAGATGACCTTGGGCTTTGTCCATAAAAATAAATGTCCCAAGGGAGGGAAGAAGAGCAAATGGGGATGAAAAGAGAATTAAGATGTTTTTGTACATAGTCCAATACCGCACAAGGAGTGTAATCATTATGTACTGTAAACATGTACAAATAAAAATAAAAATTTAGAAAAAAATGCCAAAAAGATGATAAAAAAATGGAATGTTGCTTGAAATTTTAGAATCAACCCACCATCTGAAGTCTAGGTTTTATTGTTTTCTTTATGGAAGAATACTATGCATCCATAAATTGTATATAAACACATACAGCATGATCCTTCCTTTTGGAGACTGGGTTTCACTATGTAGTCCAGGCTAACTTCAAACTTATGACCCTCCTGCTTCAGCCTTCTGAGTACTAGGGTCATAAGTATATGCCACAAGGCCCCACTCAGTTGTGATGAATTTTAAATTCAGTTCTTTTTAACTTGAAAATACTAATTGTTTTTAAAATAAAGAGTAAGGGCATGTTATTACTAAAGTTCATAGACCCCAAAAGATGGCTTGCATTTCAAAACAATCAGTTATCAAGCCCATGTACTTATTTCTAATAACATACTTTTAGACCTGAGTATGGCATGCACACCTATAAACTCAGCACTTTGGAGGCTGAGGCAGGAAGATCATTCCTAGTTTTAGGCCAGCCTGGGCTACACAGTGAGTTCAAGGCTAGTCTGAACTGTTTCACAAGACCCTATCTCAAAAAAAGCAAAAAAACAAAAAACCCCATACTTTTAGAGCTAGTGAAAAGAACAAAAAATTAAAAATTATAAAACTATTCCTAGGGGAGCGCCAGTCTTCAGATAGGTGGCTCACTCCCGGCCTCGTAGGCCCCCAGAAGGAGGGCTTCCGGCGCACAGGGAGCCATGGGCGGGGAGCGCCGGTCTTCCGACTGGCTAGCTTCCTGCCTCGTAGGCCCCCAGAGGGAGGACCCCCAGCGCAAGGGGAGCCATGTGGCAGCAAGCACTGTTGCACACTGGCCCTTAGGCCGGCCGCCGCCGCTCAATTGAGA